GGCAAGATGTTTGGTGCAGAATACCATTGGATGACATAAAAGTTTGAAATTGTTGGGATAAATATTCACGTGCATTGTCACTTTCTTAAGATACGAATGGACAAACCAAATTGGGTTCTTATTTCTCGATAAAATTGTTCAAAAATAGAAAACAATTTAGATATGTTTTTCATTAAAAATAGCCACTTGCAACGTGAAAAAATCATCAATAAATATTAAAAAATACTTAAACTCAAAAGTAGACACGATACGCGATGGACCCCAAACATCGGAGGTAAACTAAGTAAAAGAGAACGCAGTCTGTTTATTGGCTCGATCAGGAAAGTGACTACGAATGTGTTTCCCTATCTGACAAGACTCACAATATAAAGTGGAGATTTAGATAAAATGGGCACCGAATTTTGTAGTTTGGGAAGACTTGGATGACTAACTGCGCCTGTATAATGAATGGAGAATATATGGTGGAGCATGTGGTAGATGACATAGAGAAGTAGTAGAGGCCTTGAGACTCACATTCGACATCAATCATTTGTCCCGAACTCCAATCCTGTAGAATAACATCACTGCTAGTAAAAGTGATAGAACAATTAAGGGAACGAATTAAACGACTGACTGACAGTAGATTAAATGGGAAATTAGGTACATATAGGACATAAGTAATAAAGAGAGATGGTAGAATTGACAGTACCGATCCCTTGGGATCGGGTTTGAGAACCATTTGTGGAAGTTATACTCGTAAGAAACCAGAGGTAAAAATGGAAGAAAAAATATTTTTATTACCGATAATATTATCAGATGCACCAGATTCGAGGACCTAAGAACCAAGAGGGGATTATTGAGAGACACAAACGAATGAATTACCAATGTGTGCAATCAAGCTGTGGAACCAGAGGTTTGGTTAGTCTTACACACCTGAGAAAACCCTCGTAGCTTGGCGTAGGGTTTTGGAGAGAAGGTGAAGTCTGCATAGTGTATGGGTTATCAATTTGAGTTGCATTTACCTGTCGTGTAGGTTTTCCATGCAACTTTCAACAATGATCGATAGTATGCCCAAGCCGGTTACGGTGGTCATACTTAGAACGAGGTTTGGAGTTGGATGACCCTCCTCGAAGGTGATTCTGATTGTTTCCAAGATATGTAAGACCATCAGTGTCACCTGGTATTGGAATAGCAATAGATGGAGGGGAAATTGAGCCAAACGTATGAGGTGTAGCCAAGTGCAAAAATTGTTCACTAACTGTATCATAGTTAGGAACAATAATACCTGATAAAATCTGGTTACGAACGAATTTGAGTTCTGATGGTAGTCCTTTAAGTCCCATGACTATGAAATAATTTACTTTGTTGTTCGATATGAGCTGTTGTATCTTTTGCGTAAGGCATGAAGGTTGCGTAACTTGCTTTCAAAGCATCAAGCTTACTCAGATAAGCTTGCATATCCATATTTTCCAACTTCAGCGTGTTGAGTTTGTGGATGACATTGTATAGAGAATGAACGCCATTGAAAAATACTTTCTTGGCCTTTTGCAACACCTCATAACAAGTGGAGAATGCTTGGTATTGCGCTTGGAAGTTAGGTGCTATGGAAAACCACAACACAATACACAAAGAGGCATCCATTTTCTTTCATTTAGAGAGTTTGGCAACTGCAACGTCACTCAATTGGGTGGTTAAATGCTCTTCATATCCCTGACCGTGAAACCACATCTCGACAACACAAGCTCATATCTTATAGTTGGTTGAATCCAGTTAGTTTTTTCACATGGGATAATTGGAACTTTAGTAAACGAGACAGAATCAACATCTCTCGTGGCTTAAATTTTTTTTCCGTGAACAATAGCGGCGACGATGAACAGTGGTGGTGGCGGTGAACAATAGCGCCTCTAAAAATATTTTTTTACTCGTGAACAGTGCGGGCTGGAGGTCATTGGAATTTTTAAAAAAAAAGTGAGGCAAATCGGAATGATGGACACGGTTTGCAGAAGAAAATTTTCTCACTGGAAGACAATGAGTCAACCGAGTAGCATACGATAAAGATTTGTCTTTTAGTAGGCTCTCAATACCATATTGAATTAGGAGAGACTAAGAGACATTTAAATTAAACTACATGTTTTAAAAGTACTACGAGACTTTATTATATAGAGAGAGATTACAACTAATTACATGATATAATCGATGTGAGACTATTCTACATACAAATATTCTTAACACTATATATTTACAAATATCAACATATCTCATTGGTTCTCCCGACTCCTCTAGACTTCTCAACAGTAGGATGCAAGTCCTGGTTATCCTATTATAGAATGTGAAGACTCACACTTGTGGTGGAGAATCTTGCAAGTCCCACATTGCCTCAGTTTCACTTCGACATAAACAGTTCTGAAACTGAACTGTTAATAAAATACAAATTTGAATATTACAAGTTGCCCGTACCCCAAATTTTTTCTCCCATATTTCTCAAGATAGGTCAAGAGAATCATCTCCAAGTTGTTCAAGATGGCTCAAGAGTTGGACAGTCAAATCACCTCCTAAGGCAGTCAATTCAAAATTAGGGTTTAGTGTTGCATCAAGGTTCTTGCATACAAATGGCCTCAAGTTCTCCCCAATGTCCTAATATGTTCTCAAGTTCATACATGTCAAATTTCAAGCCTTGCAGAGGAAGTTTGGTCAGTCAATTGCTCAAGAGGTCCAAAAATCGACTGTGCTAGGGCAAAGGTCAACTGTGACCTACAAATAGTCAAACCTCAATATTTTTTGTCAACATTCTAATTTTTAAGGATAATTCATCATTTGATCAAGGGTTGATCATGATTCATCAAGGATTGCTCAAGATTCATCAAGATCAAAAGTTGCTAAATTAGGGTTTTATAGGAAAAGTCAACCCAACTTTGACTAAGCATAACTTTCTCATACTTTATGATAAATGACCCATCCAAATCTCATTTTGAAGAGGGTACAATTACTACAATCCATCTTCACACCCAAAGATAAAGAAATGCACTCACAAAAAGTACAAATTTGGACATTATAGGTCATTTTTGAAAGTCAACAAAAACACCTTTTTTGCCAAAGCTTATAACTTGAGCATGGAACATAAAAATGAGATGAGACAAAAAATGTTGGTTATAGGATATCTCAAGGTTTCTAAAAAGTCCAAGAACACTTCCAAAAGTTCAAAATTGAAGAAGTTATGCATTGTTGAAGTTGGGCATTTTTCCAAAATTACCAAAAGTCAACTATCCTCAAACTCCAATTTTTGACAAAAGGGCCCACTTTTTTCCACATGATTTGGTCTTGTCACACCCCCACACGTGTCCCATCTTCAGTTTCATATCCATTCATTAATTTTTCTATTTTATTTAATTTTTATTGAATTAATTCATTTTAAATCAATATTAATTCAAATAAAATCCAAAATTGATAGAATGATATCTTTGTGATTGGTATAGACTTCAATTATCATCATGAACCAAATCAAATCCGAATCAAGCCTTATTATGCACAAAAAATCAGATTTTGATACAAATATGGAAGCTTTGTTAATGGTGGCAAAATCATATCTTGGAATCATCATGCACAAGGATTGGAGGCCCAAAGTTTAACCTAATGCACTCCTTATTACTTGTACAAGCCATACATAACTGGAACACGACCTAAAACTGCAGAAAACGGCCAGACAAAACTTGAAAAAAATCTTGAAAACTTGGAATCTAAAATCAATATTAGAGCACGATTCAATCCCAAATCTCAACATAGCCTTCTTGCCTGGCATTCACTGAAGCCAAAGGGATCAAAATCAAGCCTTGAAGCAGCCCCAAACTCGCTGTAAAGTGCCCACGAACATAGCTCTGAACATGGAATCATGAATCCATGTTCTTGCATCTTTTTGCCATTTTTCTTGTACAATCGTGCTTAACATCAAATTTCTAACATGTCTGCATTATTCAATTTTGTTTTCATGGCCTATAACCTTAGATCCGAAGCTAGGGTTCTTGTTCTTGTTTTTTAGGCATTTTCGATACAGGTAAAATCAGGACAAATGATTGGTACAGGGATGTTCAAGGAAGAGAGACGAACACTTTGATGTTCTCCATTTACGTTTATATGACCTGTAACTCATATTAGGATGGTGCCACGGATTTTGATGCGGAATAAAATCCACAGGAAAAAAATATAGTCTTTGTTGAAGAAGACGAAGACGTGTCTCTTCTCCATTGGCTTGTTCAAATGTTTAGCGCGTTTTTTTCAATTCCAGCATAATTGATTGTTTTCATATATTATGTCCACTACTCATTCCACTAACAAAGAAGCACATTGGCTCAGATGGCAAGCGTGTTGTCCCAAAGTCTCTTGGGACCTGGGTTCGAATCCCAGGTCCCCCAAAACATTTTGTTTAATTTTTCTTCAGATATTCCCATGCAATGCCCAAAGTGTAGAATATCATATGCCTCATGGATCCAGGCGCCAGATGGCCTCCAGGCCAAATAATTGGGCCTCTGAAATGCTGATTCCACTCCCAAATTGGGTCCAACACCCCCCTCGGTTTATTTCTTTTTTCTCTTTATATTTCTTTTTTAGTTAATTGTTTTATTAATTATTATTATTTACACTAACCAATTTATTTTCCTAATAAAATCAGAAAACCAAAATATTATTTTTATTTATTAAAACTAATTTCACTTTATTTTTGTAAATAACTATTAATTTATTTAGTTTTAAATAGGTGTAACATTTAATATTTTCGCAATAAATTAAAATCAATTTAGAATATTAGTTTTTTTTTAAATAATTTTAATCATTTTATTTATTTCCTTAAATATTAAAAAATCCAATAATATTTTCATTAATTAATTAAGTTAATTATTAACCTAGATCTAATTTCCATTTAATCCAAAAA